TCATGATCTTTTCGTGATTTTCGATATCGAGATGAAAGTATCGACATAATGTAACTGGTAATTTCATAATATAAGGAATAAAGACGATGCTTTCATGCTTCGAACGTTTGCCTATCAAGAAGAATGAGTGGATCGTTAACAGCCAGTGTGAAACCTTTATGTAACATAAAAATTCTTAGCAGTGAAAGGGAAAACCTTTTCAGGGTGGGTGTGGGTGAAAGAAAGAGGCGCACCTACCCACACTCACACGGCTCAAATATCCAATCTCATCTATGCATGTACCAAGTACAAGTACCTCAGGGTCAGTTAGACTCGTTTAGGCTCTGACTGAGCTCAAGCGGGTGTGGGTGCGCGTGTTAACGTAGTTATTCTTAACCCACACCCACACTCCACCCACACACACCCCGCACCCACACCCACACCTACACCCCACACCCATCCACACCCACATCCTGAAATATTTAATATTGCTCATATGAAAAAGTTGCTCATTCGTGTTAGCACATAAACTATTCATGAATTATAGGCAGTTTATGCGTAAGACCACTCAAAGTTTTTCAAACTTAAAAACAATTGATTTCACTAGATGAGACGGAGAATCATTCTTGTTAGATCATAAATAATAACTGACTTTCGTATCGAACCGTAATATTAGTTAAAAATGACAACACTGCGATTTTTCTAATATATTCGGTTGCAGAACATTCTTTCAGACATTGAAAATAGTTCATGTCGATATAATTTCGTGTGACACATGCCATGTGTATGGAATGTTTTGATGTAACAATTATTTTAATATTTTTGTTATGCATTCTATCTTTTGATGACTGATTAAAAAATTCTAAGTCTAATTTACAGGTAATATGACATTATCCCACCATGAAATTAATTTTTTTACGAATGAGCTTTTCTTAGTACGTTAGCAGATGTAAAAAAGACGATTTTGAATCCTTCTGCATCACTTTGAAGCTTATTCAACAACGTGTGAGTGTCGGTGAATTGTTATGAAATGCACACCCACACCTTATGTAGAATGAAGCGTCAAAAGTCGCGCAAAATAAATACAAATATCACGCTAATGGGTCATGCCGTCGAGATATCGATGAATATGTTTTGATGGCGATGAATGCTTTTGAACTATATGAAAACATGTATTAATAAGAACCAAAAGCTTCAGACTATTAATAGTTTTCGTCACTCGGTAGCGAAATCTTTTGGATTACGGAGAAATGTGTCTGAATAAGAACAAAAAATTTCAGAAAAATGAATAGTGCGTCAGGTTATCAATGAATTTCTTCTAGATTTTGACTAATATCTTCGGGTGACGAAAAAACGTTCTGGTGACTTTTGAATGTGTTTGATGAGCACTATAAAAGTTTCTGAGATCGGTCCATGTATTCGGTTAATGCTCAAGCGCTTCGGGCTGGTGATGAATACTTTTGAGTAACCGTCAAGACTTTTAGATCACTGAGAAATTTGTGAGATAGATGCCGAAAGTGTTTAGGCAGCTCATTAATTTGCTGGCTTTATCGGAAAAAAAACATCGGTTCAATCATCCATTTCACAGAGTTAAACAAAATAGCCTCTGACCACTAATACATGTGTCAGAAACGCGAAAAGCTGTATGCAGCTTGTCCATGTGAGGATAGCGAGAAAACGCTGCATCCATCGAACCTTGTTTCAGTTACACGGAAAAGCACTTAAACCGTTCATACAAGTGTCATATTGACAGAAAAATTCTTCAGACTGTCAGTACATCTGTTAGGGCATCAAAAATATTTCTAAAACTGAAGCAAGTCTCACTGTTGAAGAGATAAGCTTCGGTGATACAGAAATATTCAAGCGTGTGAACATAAGTATAACAGTTTAATAAGAAATATTGCTTTATTAGCACATTATTGTGTTTGATGATTTATCAATATTTGCACCATTGTATCATTTCTTAATGTTCAAATAGATGTATCTACGCATTATCTATACTTCATACCACATACATCATAAATGTTCACTTCGCTCTCTCATTCATTCATATGTATAAGGGCTCGTGAGAAGGAGCGCATAATTTAAATAATTTTGCAAATCGAATAATATAATATATAGAACAAGAGAAGCTCCTCACGAGGTTTTTCTCCTTAATAGTAGGTAACAAATAAAGCAAAATAATAATATTGTGAGCATTATTTTACACGTTCGAGTTTTTCAATTAAATGATATATTTAAAGAAAATGCGACAATTCTATACCTCAAAGTTTCTTAAAAAATGTCCTGATGGATTTTTTGGTTTTTCAGCAGTGTGCCTTTTCTGTAACACCATCATATTTATTAGATTGTATTCTCTACCAACCTGTTCTAAACTATACAACTATAATGCTTTTATATCAATTTAATTTTTCACAGTTGATCGATGAAGAAAATTTTTTTGTATAGTTTTGCATAAAGAAACAGATGAGTAAGTTCAATCTACGTGACAAAGCTACAAGATTGAAGTGAAACTAGAACAACTACTAAGTTATTGTAACAATGTCTCAAGAAACCTTGAAGTATAATATTGACTTATATTTAATTGAGCAATAAAAAATACAGAATGAGCAATAATCAAATTTAGCGATAAATATATAGAATGAGCAATATATATATTGAATAAGCAATATATATATTGAATGAGCAATAATTAGATGGAATGAGCAATAATTCCATGAAATGAGCAATAATTAATTAAAATGAAGCGTAAAATGTATATAAAAGGGCAATAATAACTCGTTTTTTTACAACAATAAACGTTTTCTTATCCTCATGAAATTTATATATAACTTTTATACATCACTCAAGCACAACTCATAGCACACTATTTTCTGATTCTTGGGTGTGGGTGTTAAACTACAATGAACCCACACCCACACCCACACCCACCCACACCCAAGATCCGAGGTTTTCTATTGTGTCTAATCCCAAAAGTTTTCCAGAGGGTCTTGGGTAATGTCTCTTTTCTTTCTACAGATTGCAACTAAAAAAATTGTTCAGAAAGCCAAAGCGATTTTGATGCTTTGAGAAGGAATTTTTCGGATTTTAAAAGCCTAGATAAAAGGTTGAAAACACTTAGTTAAATTTTGTAGCTGAAAACTCTGAAAACTAAGCATATTATGATGTAAATCCAGTGGTTGAAGTTGTCATTTTTCGAAAAATTTGATAATTGAATAAAGTCTTATACTAAGTCTCGCACGTATTTCTCCAAGGGGGTCTTCTATTATGGAAAGCCTTCTAATATAGGGACCTCCTATCGGAAGAGAAGGGTATGCTGTTTTGAGAAAAAAGAAAATAGTCGTTCGTATAGAGACTGGCATGGCTACCGTGACTCACGGTCACGGTCACGATGGCAACGGTCGTGACCGTGACCGTAACCGTGACCAAACTGATCGTGACCGTGACGTGACCGTGACCAAAAAATGTTGATCACGCCGATGTCTACCCCACACTCAGACCCTCCCACACCCACACCCACACCCATTTTTCTTTTTTGTTTCTTGTAAATTATAAATAAAAATAATTCACTTCTATCTTTTTTTGTTGCTCAAATATGAAATTAATATTTTTATATAATAAATTATTTATTGCTCATTTAATGTCAAAATATTGCTCATTTAATATCATAATATTGCTCATTTTATATTATAATATTGCTCAAATAAACATTTTTTATTGCTCAAAAATTATTGCTAAATCATGTTTTTATTATTGCTCATTCTATATTTTTTATTGCTCAAATAAATACAAGCCTATAATATTATCAATTGTTCTTTGAACAGATTGCTTAATTTCAAATATCGAACATCTAGCAACGTAGGAAGAACGTACAGGAAATAACTTACGAAGTAAATAGGTTTTAATGAAAAAAGTACGGAAAAATGAGAAGAAATCATTAGAAGATAAGAAAACCCGAGAAAAATTCATTTGTTAAAAATCGAGACGAAAACTAAAAACTAGAAGTGTTAAGCTGTTTAAAACTTATGGATTCATCAAAATTGATTTTTCAGGTTACAGCTATGGGTTCCTGACGACGATATTAGGGATTCAAAAATATCCAAAGCTAAACTACTCTATGTGTTGAATAATTTTAGATCTATTCCAAGTTCGTACTTAGGGTGTATGATTTATTCTGTTTCTCTTCTACTAACTCCACGAGTATATCTTATAACTTTTGAGCCTATTTCAACAAAACTTCGAAAATGATAATCAACAAAAACTAGTCGTTTCTTAACATCATCCTGTGTAAAATGAAATTAGAAACAGAAGGCAATATGTCTTCATATTAGTTGTACATTTTCTTTATTATTTAAGTCTATGTTACATGAAGACATATAGAAAACATAGTAAATAGCTAAGACGGAAGATAACTAAAAGATTGGTTGAACAAAGTCAGTTATAAAATCGACAGATGATCGACATATATATTTATACAGACTTCAAATTACATATTCATACTATGTGAAACTTTTTCATCTACGTGCAGGAGATATGTTAGGAATTGTGTTTCGATAATCATATCACTCTATTACAGTATGACCATCTTCCAAAATAGTTTTCATGCCTGTCGTAAGTCATTTACAATCGATAGCATGAAAACATGTATTTTTCTAGTTGATTTTTTAGGATTGTAACACTCTCAAAGTTTTTCAAACCTTAAAACTTATAAAACACTGAATAAAACTGATAAAAATGCAGTTATTTAAAACAATACTACTCGTCTTAATAAGTTCATAGTTTATTAACACATAGTATTTTGCGGTCTTGTTTACCTGGGCGTATTAAAATGCGTAACAATAAAGCAGAAAAGCTTTGTACCATGCAGCCACGCGTTATGGTCAGATGAAGAGGAATACGAATAGCTCTGGGCAGCAAAACTATTAGTAAGAGTGAAGGATAAATGCCGTGTCTCGCATGAGACTTTGGTGAACATAGTCAAAGGCTTTAGAGTTATTTATGACATCTTTTCTTGCTGGAGAAGTAGCCATTAAGCAAAACTAAGTGTTTAAAAAACCAGTAGAATCTCGTAAGTGAACATTTGTCATAGGCTACATCTTGTTAACAATTTCATCTGCTTAATACATGATCAATTGAAGATAATAGTATAATACTAGAGAATTTTTATGCCATCATAGCTAATGATGAACATCTAAGTCAAAATTGTAATAAGTACTGAGATGAAAAACAATCTAAATTTCGTAGTCTCACAAGTATATAGCATAGTTCTGCTCGAGAAATCGAGAGTATCAGTATTTTAACAAAAGTCATATTCTATGATTCTTTTCGAAATCTACAAAGAATAGCTTTATATACGAAGTCTTCCATCTGGTGAACATAGAACGTTTTCAAAGGTGAAGTAGTCTTCTTCGAACACATCTTCCGCAAAACTACTTCAGTTCTTCGTATGCTATTTTCAATACAAACAGTCACCCGTGGTATATTACTCTAGGGAAAATTATCTGTTTACATGCTTCAGAACAGATGGAGTCGTCAGTAATAGATGTCCATATATCCCATAACATCTTCTCTGTTCTTGAAATAAAATTAGGGTGTGGGTATGGATATGGACGTAGGGTGTGTGGGTGTGGGTCTCCTCTCGTTCTGCACCCACACCCTTTTGATCATTGTTCGTGGTGGCAGTCGTATTCGTCATTTTCAATGAAGCGGATAATGTTCTTATCGAGATCATTTTACGATCGCTGCCCACTTACTCACATCTATTAGAAATTATCTTGTTATTGTCTGCCGGTAATCTCATTTGAAGTCAGAATGAAAGAAACTTCACAAAAAATGACACGAATCGTTGAAGAATTTGCAGATTTTCATAAAATGTTTTTCTGGAAAAAAAATCGCTTGAGGGTGTGTGTTGGTTGGGCTGTGACTATGTAGAGAGGTGTGCAGGTCGATGAAGAGAAGAACCATACGCATCTTCAAATAGTTTGAAAGATCACTTTGTTGTAGTGGAATTCAAAGTATCGACTCTGCTATTTAGATTAAATCATGACTAACCAAAAACCGATTGAAATCGTTACACTTGGACGTCCATTTCGCTTGGGTATGCTATATGATATTCGTAGTGACATGCTAATCACTGGTGCTACACTATGGAATAAGGAGACATTGGATAAGAATACAGATAAAAGTAATCAACCATATACCGATTATGAAGTTATAGCTACAGATTCATTACAAGATAAAGCACATGCATTGGGAGTTGAAGGGAGTTTAAAATTAAGTCTTCTGGTTGGTTTAGTTAACGTTTCTGGTTCTGCTAAATATGCTGAAGATTCTCAAAAAACGAATCACGTAACACGTCTTACACTAAAATATACAACAACAACGGAGTTTGAGCAATTAACAATGCAACATCTTGGTAAAGGTAATTTAAATCACCCGGATTTACATGATGCCGATATAGCAACTCATGTGGTTACTGGTATACTCTATGGTGCTGAAGCATTCTTTGTATTTGATCGTACAGTATCGGAAGAAGAAAATAAAACAGAAGTTGCAGGCACATTACAGGCTATGATTATGAAAATACCAAAATGTGAAATAGAAGCGGATGTTAAGTTAGACTTAAATGACAATGAAAAGAAATGTATTAATAATTTAAATTGTAAATTTTATGGTGACTTTCGATTGAAAAAAAATCCTAGTACATTTGAAGACGCTATTAAACTCTACAACGAATTACCAGAACTCTTGGGTGAAGATCAAAAAAATGTGATACCAAAAAAAGTTTGGCTTTATCCATTGCATTTGGTAGATAGCAAAGCTATGAAAATCGTTAGAGATATTTCAACGAGTACTATCGATTATTCAATAGGCTTTCTTGAAAAGCTTCATTCGTTAGAAATACGAGCATCAGATTTAACAAAAAGTACAGTTTTTACATATTTTAATCATATGCGAAAACATTTGTTAGATTTTGTTGCTCGATTATCAGAATTCGAACGTGATTTAAAAAAGAAGATGGTAAATCTTTTGCCAAAAATACGGGGTACTGGTGCTGAAGAATCAGATCTACTTGGTTTATTTAAAGAAGTTGATTCATCGCCATTTAATGAGCGAACACTAACATCATGGCTTGAAGATAAAGAAAAAGAAGTTGCTCTCATTAAAACTTTTACTGCAGCTTTAACGAAAGATAAAAATTTATATATTACAGTTA